GAAGGTTCCRAAGCAGGAACACTGTATTACTGTTACTAATCTGTATGGCATGAATGTCAAACAAAATCCCTGCTGAAAGCCATTTCATAATCAGAAAAGCTGCTGTTGGCCTTCAGATGGGTATGGCAGGGTAGAGAGCAGGGCAGTTCTGCGCTGCCTTGCTTTGAGTTTTGACAGGAATCGCTTTCTTTATCGGTCTTGTTTGAGACCCAGCCAAGGTGGTTAAAAGCCATCTTTGCTTTCAGAAGTGCAGTCCTCCCTTCTGAATCTGAAGTGATGCTTGGTAGTAATGAATGCTCTGAAAATGCTGGGGTATTTTTTTTGCATATAAGTGACTGTATTCAGAGCATACCTATTTTAATGTTTTAAATCACGTCACTCTTCCTAGAAGATAATCCTTCCTAGACTATTTTATTGTATACACACACACACACACACAGATAGATATAATTTAAGTGAAGTCAGTTTGTTTGTCTTTGCTGACAGTAAGAACCCATTCCTTTGGCTGAACTTTTAAGTCTAAGCCAGGAAAGTTTTATATAGTTTAACAGCAGACAATTCACAGGACAAAAGAATCATAGCATCAATTATTGCAGTAAAAGCAGACAGAGAAACATATCCTGGTCTACCAGACAGGGATTTTGTAAAGTAAAACAAAACAGTAATTTAGAGCTATATCGTAGGCACTGGGCTATGATGATAGTAGGTTTCATGTTTAACTTGCTTATTTCGTATTTCCTGATTTTTTAAATACAGATTTTTCAGGAAGGGCCACTGACATCATTATTTGCATTTGACTAAAGAGGGTCAGTATAAATAACAGAGCAAGAGAGATGTCTGGGCCACAGAACTAGGAGGTTAGCCTCAACTTCCTAAAAATGAGAGATGTTTGGATGTCTGGAGGACTTAAGCACAGGTTCATCTCCAGCAGATGCATTTCACTTCTGCACATGTAATTTTTCTTTGTTTGGCAGTGTAATGCTAAATTTATTTATCATATTGATCCTTGTATTAACAGTGACTACATAATTACAGAGGTAGATAAATTTGGGGTAGCCAGCTGGTACCTCAAAGGTTGTTCCTGTGACCCATGGCAGTTTTATCTGTCAACTTTGACCTGATGCCTGAAGCAGTGATGGGACATGCAAGTAAAACTGCTTTGAAAGAAGCAGCTTTCCTATCCCTGATGCAGGAATAAGAATTCCCCAATAGGTAAATGTGAATCACTCAGAATATCGCAGTCCCAGTGCAAACCGGAAACTCCATCCTCCAAATTAACAGCAAAAGAAAACAAACCTGGGGACTGACTCCAAAGTTGCTGCTTTTCTTTCTTTTTCCCTTGTGTTTCTCAGTTTGCAGCATCCGTTGAGCTGTTACTTTTCTATGAAAGCTGCATTTGGTCTCCACAAAGGTGCTGAACCTGATGTCAAGGAGACAACTTCATGTTTAAAATTAATTGCCTGTTTTCCAGACCCAGATGTAATAAGGCAGGCCCAGGAGCTTACTTGGAAAGAGAGATCATCTGAGCAGCTTGTGTGCTGGGACATTCATTTAGAACAATAGTGGCTCTATTCTTTCATGTAGGGCTCAGTCTTGTTCCCTGTGAAATTTGTACCAACAGGACTCAATCTTTTCAGCTTTTCTATGAAATAGACTTGCCAGCTTTGTCTATTTATAGCCTTGAACCATTTAATTTTTCTCCCCTCTATTATCTATTTATTAGCTTCCTGATAAAATTCAGTATTAGCAGTTAAGTTATTAACTATTGCTTTCTTTAGGCTGACCATCAGAGAAAGAAGTGCAGCTTGTTATCCTTTGGGAAATGGAAATCTCTAGGTCAGAGATGAGGAATCCAGACTATAGCTGCAACACTGAAATGTCAGCCATTGCTGTCCACTAAGCTAAGACACATCATAGCTGTCTTTCATTATTAAATATTATTTCTGTTATTTGCTTTGGCTTTTCAAATTTTCTTTTCATTTGGTTAAATACACTGGAAAACCCCAAAGACTACCCTATTCCTCACTTCTCCAAAAGTGAAAACATTGTCAAGGTTTGAAACTTGAGTATGTTCTGAAACAAAAAAACAAAAAAGAAATTAACTACTAACTAAATTTAATAACAAACTGGTGTGTAAGCACACAAGTCACTCAATACTCATTAGACACAAGACTATTGAAATGTCAGCTATGTTTTCTTTGTAAAGGCCAGAGGTTTCTTTCGTACAGAACAGGTCAGAAGCATTTTCAGCAGAGTACCAAATACTCCCAGGAGCACTGACTACCAGCATCAAATAGCTTTCACATTTATTTTAATTCTTAAACCTCAGAGAAAGTACATAATGAAATTCTAATGAAATTTTACATGAAAATAAACCATAGAGCTAAATTCATTGCTGGCAAACAAGGGCATGAACTTACTCACCTATAGTGTTATTCATTTAGCTGATTTTGAAATCAAAACAATGAGCGATGCCTTTGACCTGAGAATTTATGGCAGTAAAACTAGCTACAAGTGGCATTTTCCTTTGAAAAGGAAACCCCGTAGTTGCTGCTTTAACATCAAGCAGAACTAATAACTAATAGCTAGTATTTTAGACTAAAAGATTTTGCCCCGTACATAATGTGCTATCCAAACATTAAGCCACCACATACATACTGCACTAAGGTTGTTACATGCTCTTTGCATGGCACAATTTTAATCAGACAGAGAGCAGTTCAAAAGGCAAGTTCTGATCTTGGTCATAGGGGGAAGATTGAATTCTCCCAGTCCTCACGTCTTCCCTGGTTCCTGACTGCAAGACAGCCACAAAACCTTTTCACATTTTCCTACCTATCGAAAACTCAAACTGCAGCTAACAACTGCCCCTATTTTCCATTCTCTGTACTGCTTGTTCTTTGTGCTAATACCATCAGCTGCTGCAGACGGGAAATCCAGAAGTCAAGAGAAACAAAATGAACGTGACAACAAAATAAATAATGCAAGGACTGACTAGAGTGTCGGTCTTTGTATTCAGTTCAATAGTGACCTCAGTTTTTAGGCTATGGGAAAATGCTGAACTGGGAATGTCCCGTTCTCCTACATCTTCTTCCTTCCCTTCTCCTTTGTACTTACGCTACTGTAATCTGTTTTAAAAAAAAAAAAAGATATTTCTGCTGGTTACTGAGCTAAGCAGCTCCACCTCCAGGAGCAGAGAAATAAATGAAGCAGAACCAGCAGAAAACTTTATTTACATCATTGAGTTAAATTTCTTATGATTTATGCTTTTTTCTTCAGGGTCACACAAAACTTGAAAGTTGATGTAAGAGAGATGGGGGAGGACCCTGTGACCCACCAAACATGGGGAGGGAGAATTAGGATGTGGAAATTGTTAACTAGTTTAGCCTAAATTGCCATGGAAATTCAAGCTTAGCTTACTAGTAACATCCAGMGAGCATTTCTTACCATGTAATTCCGTGCTGAGAGAACTAGAGAATTGTGTGGCAAAATTGGGGTTGCCCTGGCTACAGTACAAACAGTAATTTCTAGGACATTAAACCAAAAGGTAGTAGTTAATTTTGGAAATTAATGGTTGCTTTTAGGAAGCCAGTGAATAAATATTCTTCAAGAGTTGTGATGTATGTGACTTTTATATTTCTATAAATTACAAATAGATTTTCTGGTGAATTAGCATTTCCCAAACAGGTCAATCAGGCTGTGCTGTTGCTAAMTTATAAAAGGCAAAGACTCTCAAAGTGAATGTTTAAAGTCAGGGATAAAAGGCCACGCTTAAGTGCCTAAATGAGTGTAATTTTCAGAAGTGCTCAACACCAGCAGTTATCATCAATGGAAGCTGCTCTACATCTAGAGCCTCTGAAAATAGGGCAGCTACGCGAGTGCTAGGACATAGGACTTAGCATATATTTGTAAGCACTTGGTCTACATATCCAGCTTGTTATTTGGCTGAGTGAAAAAGCAGGAATCAGTTCTGTTAGGCTTTTAAGAAAGAACTGATTCAAATTGAGTTAAAGCTTTCCTTCCAAATTCATTTCTTTCCGAGGCAGCCTGAAATTTCCATTGTTTCTGTTTCTTTGGAATATCAGTGGAATATCAGTGGAATATCAGATCTTCCTTTGAAGATCTGTCCTGTCTGACACAGTCTCAGCGTCACCACGTACCTCGTCACGTAAAGAGGCCTCTGGAAATAACACTTCACACAAGGCTGACCCAGCCAAGCTTGTCACATGGTTTGACTGTAAACAAACATATGGCAYAGACATGTCTTTTTCAAGGAGACAAGTATGAAAGGGAGAACTGTATCATTTCTGAGTTTCCATGCATACATACATTTCACATATGTAAACCATCAGTGATGCAGAATTATGCACACTAGTAGGAAGAAAGAACTGAACTCAATCCTATCTGTGAAGAGACAATCTCAGGCCCAGCTGTGCTTCAGATCAGTAAATCTCAAACTTGGCTTTCGTTATGTGGAGGAACATTTGGCAAGTTTATGATATGCTCAAAATTTGTGATGATTTCACACACAGTTGTATGCTCTGGAAGAGATGGAAACTCAGCTGTGTGGCATGGTCCTGTGTATAACTTGTGAACTAAGTGTTTGGGATTTCATCACAGTTCACAGAAAACCAGTCAATAAAAACAACAAGCCTCAAGAGCTGTTGAGCAGCCAAAAGGGTGACTACTTTGTGGTGACCTGAGTAGCCCACAAGGTTCAAAAAAGGCATTTTATGTAGAAACTTTGCTAACAGGCAATTTGAAAATCACCACAATTCTTGATGCTACAGAACACTTAAATAAAACTCCTGCTTTTCAAGAAATACTGTAGCAATTTGCTGCAAAATAAACCTAAAGAAGGGGTTATAGCTGATGGTGAGAAGCAAGAGCAGAAGTGGAACATTGAAGGTTGGGGTGCAACATAAAGCTATCATGGATTTATCCTCAGGATTGTGGTTTTTTTCCTGCCAAAGGCAGTTATTACACAGACGGAATTCAGTTACCTGCAGAAATTGCCGTCCACCTCTGGCAGGGTCAGAGAAGCCACGGGATTCTTCAGCAGGTCTGCCACAGTCTTATCCTTTGGTGTCACATAAAAGAAAGGGATTCCAGTGCTGTTATGGATGGGACCATCGCTGACAAGTAGACAGTTCCCATAGGGCATTCCTTGGACCTGCAAAATACAAATAAGCAGTGCCTTATGACTTTGCAAACAGGCAGTTTAGAGCATTGGGGACCTCCTCAAGTCTTTAGCAGAAATGACAACAAAATCCATTTGTTCTATCTCACACTTTCTGTTGTCACCACTAGACAGACTATCTTCTAAATCAGATCTTGCTGTCACACTTCTGTAAAAATCTCCTCTATCTCTTTTTTTTTCCAGTCATGTCTGATGTTATAGAGATTTTCTCTTCCGCTGCACTTGAAGGAGCTAACAAATTAAAAATGTTTAAGTGCACTAAAATCAGTGTTTTCAGCATTAAGAAATGTTTACCCCCCAAACAGTGCTGATACATTTCCTCAAACCCACAAGGATACAGATTCTAATTTATACTTCATTCAATCTGCTTTTTAGTCTAAGTTTGGCTCCCCTTTTAACCTTGATTTGGAATATGGTTGGATCAGCCTGCCAAATTAGAGGCAAAGTCTTTTTAGCTAGAACTGTACTTAAAGTCAAACCAAAAGCCAAACTAGCCAGCAGCAGAGCTGCTTCCATTTAGGAGCTGAGGGGACAAGTTTTYCACAGTTGCTCCCAGTCACTGACGTACATTCACACGATGGAGGTTACACATGCAAAAATATCTTTATCTAATAATGACACACATTAGTATTCTCTTCAACAATTTATACTGTTACCATGCTTTTCATGCCGTTACCAATCACAGGGGCAGATACTTAATGAATCACTATTTTTCCATGTCTTCAGATATTTCTTTTCTCATAGGCAATTAGATGATAAATAGTAGAATTATCAGTCAATAGATTAATTCAGTATTACTGATAAATGCTTTATATCAAAATCAAATTAAGTACAAGCCGTTAATAAAAGAAAAATGGGCGATGTTACTACCTGGACTGCATGCTTTCTAATATTTATACATGATTAAAATTTTAATGTTTCTAGTCCTTGTCAGCAGGGATGTTTTAAAGAAGCTGCATGACTCAGAAACTAAAAATATTTGCATATTACTAAAATTTACAACGTAAAAAAAAGTAATAGCTGTCAGTAATTCTGTGCTACATGTTTCAATTGCTTAAATATCCCCAATCTTTCATGCACGGTTAACTTCACAGCAGATGTTTGGAGAGAACTGGCAGTCTAACTCATCAGGGTAGCGCCATGCCACTCATCAATTCCAAATTTTAGCCGGAATCGGATTTGCCTGCACTAATTACGTGTTGTAATTAGTGACCGGTAACCGCGAGCTCGCTGCGGAGCCTGTTAAGGATGTAATTGAACCACGGCTTTCTGGTGAAATCATACAGTCAGGATCATGGGGGTCTCGCACAGCGCCCGTTAACTGCCCCCCCAGGAGCGGCCGTTGGTGGCTGCCCGCGCGCGGCCGTTAACCGCCCCTCACGCACGGCCGTTAACTGCCCCTAAGGCGCCGGCCGTTGGTGGCTGCCCGCGCGCGGCCGTTAACCGCCCCTAACGCGCGGCCGTTAACTGCCCCTAACGCGCCGGCCGTTGGTGGCTGCCGGCGCGCGGCCGTTAACCGCCCCTAACGCGCGGCCGTTAACTGCCCCTAACGCGCCGGCCGTTGGTGGCGGCCGTTAACCGTCCCTAACGCGCCGGCCGCTGGTCGCCCCTCAGGCGCGTCCGTTGACGCCCCATGGGCCGCTGTCACCGCGCCGCTCGGTACCTTGCCTTGCGCCGCCTGCGTGGCCACGAAGCCCCAGGTGCTGTGGCGGGCGAGGCGGCGGGCGCGGGCGGCGGCGGCGCGCTCGGGCCCGGGAGGCGGCGGCGGCGCGGCGCTCTCCCGCCGGTAGGAGAACATGCGCGAGGGCGAGGCGGCCCGCGCCGCCCGCCGCGCCGCCGGCCCCGCGCCCAGCTCCGCGTGCTCGCGGTACGCCGAGGCCGGGTAGCTCTGCTTCCAGAGGCTGCCCGCCTCCTCCAGCAGCGCGGGCAGCGCCTCCTCGGTGGAGGCGCTGTGCAGCTCGTCGCCCGCCGGCCCGTCGCCCTCGGGCAGCGGCCAGGACACGGAGCTGAGCACCACGTAGCCGCGCGCCGGCGGCAGCGCCGCGCCGCCCCACAGCACGGCCGCCAGCCAGCACGCCGCCGCCGCCGCCGACATGTTCTGCCGCAGCGGCGCCGACCGCCGCGCCCGGCGCGCAGCTCCCTCCCGCGGCCGCGCCGAGAGGCGGCCGCGCCGCTGCCCCGCGCCCCGCCGGCGGAGATGGAGCCGGAGCCGGAGCCGCCGCCGCGCTGCGCCCGCAGAGCCGCTGCGCGACGCCCCTCGGCAGGTCCCGCCTCGCGGACGGAGCTGCTGCTGGAGCGCGGCCGCTAGGTAAGCGCTTGCCTGCGCGAAGGCTTAAATGCGGATTGGAGCTGAAGTAAATGGAGCTACCCAATTTTTGTATTTTGAATTTTTGTGTCGTATTTTTGTATATCGTGGCTCTTTTTCTGCTCCTGGCAGTAGACCCCTTCAGTGCGAACATACAGTTCAAATAACACAAGCTCAAGCTTTCATTGTATTCATAGAAATTATTTAAGGATCAGCGTTATCTGGCTCAGCGTTAGGCAGGGGGGMATAGATTTCTCTGGAGACCCATTCTCAGGAGACCCAGGTTTGCAGACACGTTTAGCAGACTGTACGCTGACATTTCAGAGTGTGAAGAATGGCCCATTAACTTGGTCTGCGCTTCCCATTTGTGCTAAATTGTCTCAAGAGAACATGCTACCTATTTAATCTAGAATAGAAACTTTTATTAAAAAAAAAAAACTGAGATATTGAGTGTTTTTAGCTTCTGATTTCCTAAACCCACCGTTTGGCATTTTATCTTCATTGCAGTAACCTGAAGAAATGCTGTAAACAGGCCTAACAGGCTGTAAGGCCCCTCTCCCCCCCTTTTTCTTTTCTTTTGGACTGGAAGATACTTTCCCCAGAACAATTTGTCCACGAAACTCTTATCAGTGCAACCGAAGACACTTTTCCTTTTTTTCAGCGTCTGGTCCTGCCTCCACATGGCAATTTTGAATATTGATTCCTTCAGCACCCGGGCTGAGAAAAATGAATGTACACAGAAGCAGAAAACACATGTAGATTTCCAAAACCAGAATAAATAAAAGGTAGATAAGTTCCCTCTACCCCTGCATTGTTTTTGTTCCTAGCCCTGGAGACACCAGTGTTAAAATAATGAAGCAGGCCTACATTCCCTTCAAGCATATTTTAYAGAGCCAATTCCCTTGTGTCTCTCACTGGACAATTAGTTGTTTTCCTAATGCAAACCCAAGCATGTGTGCTACAAATTTYCTTATTTAATATTTCATATAAATTTATTCTACCGTCTTTTGCTCCTACTGTGCTTATACAGCAAGTTTAAACAACCTGCATTTCTGACATACTATAAAGAAATCAATAACACTATATACAACCTATTTTATTTCAGTTAATACAATTACATCTGAGCTATCGACTCTGTACGCGACAGCAATGGGAAGCTGTGCAGAGATTTTTCAAGACTTAGGGATTTCTGCTAAACTCTATATACAATAAACAGCAATTTTAAGGTAGACACAAAGCAAGGCTGGTGCAGGGTCCATCTATGCAGCAGCTTCCAGACAAATTCACCATGATGACTTCAGGCAGGCCCTTCAGCTTTCCTGATGGCAGGAATACGAGACAGATAAAACACAGGTATTCCACTATGTATTCTGAAGCTTTATTCAGATAAAGTCAAATAGCTAATTCACATGAAAACCTAAAACTCTGCCCAATAATCACTAGCACAGTTTTGAATTTAGTATTTACAGAAAAAAAAGACTTAAAATTAAAAAAATAAAATAGTATCAAAAAGTAAATATCGCCTATCCTCAAAAATAATACTCAAAAGTCAGACTGGTCTTCTGTGGAGATTTGCTGCGCATCAGAGGCACAAATAACGAATTTCTGTCCATCTTTCAGAGTAACAAGTGCTTCCTTTCCAATTGGAAGATCCAACTTAACAGAAGTTTTRGTAATTCTGTCTTCCAACATGACCTGGATGAGCTGAAAATGAGAACAGAAACATGTAAATGTTTTGACATTTGGAGTTCTTGACAATTAGAGATTGTAAATTACTGTTTCTCCCTCTACTGAATAATAAAAAAAAAAATCTTCTCTATTCTTTCCTGCAGATACCCAACCTAATTTTACATCAGTTAACCCAACAAGCAGAGATATGTGTGTATTTCCTTGCAGGGTGGCAGAGGTCTGGTCAGAGCACACAACCATTTTTTAACACATCATTTGTATTTTATCTRTCTGCTCTAACACCTTCTGCTCTTCACTTTTTCCAAATGTATCAGTTGAGTCCTGTCTCTCACTCTCATAGGGACTGATTTTAATTCTGAAATCCTGTTTTCCTAAAGTCAGCAGAAGTTTTGCCACTGGCTTTAGGCAAGTTCAAGACCACACTCTAATTTTTGATCATTTTAGTTACTGTTTTTACTTGATCTCTGTATCCTGGTTTACATATACCACTCAGATGAACACTCCTCCTTCATTTATGTGAAACAGCTATTTATTCCCGTATTTTTTATCCCTTTATACTAAACCAAAGTGTCTGATTTGCTGTCTGCCAGCTGCACTTAGTATGAACAGCGTCGCCTTGCTCTGATTTGTGGTATATTATATGTGATGGGAGCGTGGAATTGGATTAAAAGCTATAGCCCAGTGCTCAGCAGATAAAGGCACGGCAGGTGTGCAGCTTAATAGGATTTTAATTTGGGAACAGGTGAACAAAGAGGAGAAGCACAGAATGGGATTTTCTAGATGAAAAAAAAATGCTATTCCTGCTGTGAGAAAGTAACTGCCAGCTCTGTGATAAGCCATAAAGATGAGACCAATGCTCTGCGGGCTGCACTTGCACAGATGACAGCTCCCTCACAGCTTCTTTGCTTGTGCTGTTAGTTTCAACAACTCTTAGTTGGGCCTAATTCTGTTTAGCTACACAGTATTTAATCTGCCACGCTGTCCAGCAAGCCTGCTTTAAAAAATAAAACACTTGCACTGCTTCATTCACTCGCTTTTACAGATTTTCACATTAAGATAAGGTTTTCTTTGGGAGACGTCAGCAACTCGGTATTTATTCCATTTTCCAGATAATTAAAAGTAATTTTCACACTTTGAAATAAAAAGAAATAAATTCGAAGATGTACTTGGCTGTTCAAAATAAAGGGAGAACAACATGGTCTCTCTGCTGAGGAGCGTAATTTATATTCAGCACGAAGTACCAATGAAGGACCCAAAACAGATGGGGAAGGAAAAGCAAGCATGAAGGTGACAACTGGGAGATCATGGAGCGATCTGTTAAGACACAGGCACATATTGATACTGCTGATGCAAGGGCAGGGTTCGGAGATGCTTCTCTGATTTCTGTTACCAGTCCTCCCTCTCATTTTCCCAGGGCTTCGTAGCAGAGCTGAGTTTTTAGCGCTCGTCTCAATGCGACGAGGGTGGAGGTGCAAGGAACAGATTTTTCCGTGCCTAACAGGCTGCACGGAAGGCACAGAAACGCCTTGTGGGACGAGATGAACAAGCTATGGAGGCTGGTGCTGTTGGCAGACGCTAAAGTGGAGGCAGGAAGCTGAAGACAGACACTTGGCCAAAAAGAACTGCAGAGGCTGCGAGGGACAGAATTTAAAGGAAAATCTACAGAACGCACCCAGGATATAAAAGCCAGTGTKCCAGGTGGCCAAAGCAGGAGCCCGGGGGACCGCAGCGCGGCTAGAGGTGCCCCCGAGGCTGCAGAGCAAACGCGGGTTCCCCAAGGGGAGGCGCCTGCCAGTGCGGAGCTGGGAGCCGCCACCTCTCCTAAGGACACAAGTGCCAGTGGCGCTTGCCCCATGGCAGCTCTCCAGACCTCCGGAGTTGCAGGGCCAGGTTTTCCGGCTCCCTTGCACGCTGCAAACGCACCAAGCTCTACCCCGTATGGCCCCACTTGTGCCCATCCGCGCCCTAGAGGTTCCTGGAGGATGGCTTGCAGCCCAAGCCTGCAGTGGGGGCTCGGAGGTCAAGGTGGTGTGGCAGGAGGAGGAGGAGGAGGAGGAGGACAGCATATTGCACTTAAGAAAAACCAGTCACTGTGAGACACACACATCATGTTCCTATAAACCGCTCCTGGGTTTCATCCCTTTTGTGCCTTCTTTCTCTCCTCCAGTTTAATAACTTATTTTTATCTTACCTTGTATTTAAAAACAAGAACCCTTCCATAGTCTTAATTAGTAAAGACACTTGGTTAAAAGTGTCTTTAACAAGTTTTTAAAAGACACTTGCTAGGGGGTTGGACGAGATGACCTCTAGAGGTCCCTTCCAACCTTCAGGATTCTATGAGAACAGTTCCTTTCTAATCCACATCCTATTTTACAGAAATTGAATACATCCTGCGCAGTGCAAAATAAACAGCAAAGGAACTGCAGCAGGAGCACCCTAAAATACTATTTTCTTCATGAATCTTGGTGCCATTAACATTTATCCAGCTCTGCTTTTTGGAAAACACAGCATTCCCTGTGACTTAAGATAGTGCTGTTATCGTAAGGAAGAGAAATCAGAAAACAGCTGAGTGTCTAATGCATCAACTGCATTAACCACGGGGGACTGATCCGTGTTCCCACACGTCCTTATATTTATCCATGTTCTAGGAGAGTTGTCTTGTATTTTCTGTCTCTCATTCCTTCTGAATGACTTGGATGACTTCAAAAAATTTAGAAGTCTGGCACAGCAGAAAAGTCTCGAGGATTTTACATTTCTCAATGTTTTGCTAAAACTAATAGCTTTACGGAGGGTGGAGAGCAGATCAGTAAGAGAAAAGATGACAGGATGCGCTCTCTTTTCTGATCAGTAGGCAAGGCCTACTGTCAGGCCAGGTCAGGCCCAGCACGGAGGGCACAGAACAGAGCTGGTCAGAGCTGGTGAGAGGCAGAACTGAAGCTACTCTGGAACCTAAGGGCCTGTGCACTAATCAGGGGGCTGTGGTGAGGCTGGTGGAGGTGATGTGGGAAACACCCTGCCACAAAGCAGTTCAGAAGTTGGTGCTCAGTGAGGAGGATGTTTTGTGGCCTGGAGGTGGACACAGCTCCATGTGAAACCGCCCGTTGTTTTTTCTGCTTCGCACACATAGAAACCTCACAACAAATCCCATGCCTCATCCCTGTTTTCCCACTTACAACCTGGCATTCACTGTAAATTTCTGTAAAGCTAATGCTGTTTCACCTTGCTGCCTGTGTCTGCGTCCACCAAACAGCTCAGAACTCTGAAAAAAATGTTGCTTAAAGTGTCATTGCTCTGGCTCGGCGTCAACGTCACCGCAGTTGGCTGGGGGCCTTTGGTTTCCAACTGCTGCTCTGCAAAACTGTCCAAGACATGGTCGGGTTCATGAACCAACAGAATGGTTGAGTCGCTTTGCTCTATGACACAGAGATTTTCATCTGCCTCCTCCTCTAGATGGGACTGGAAGATGTGAGCAACATATTCCAAGAGCAGCAAATGAAACAAATGCCAGGATCCTGTGTTTAAAGAAAATCAGGAGTAATTAGAACCACCTCTTCATTGGTCTGTCTTCATGAAGTAGTCCCTTTTGAAGGGCTTTGTTAATGTCACAGGCTAGACTAAGTAGCAGCCCTTATCAAGCAGCATTTACAAAATTATGTGCTTCCACATATCAGCAAAATAGGCACCAACTGCACATTTTAAATATAAGCAAAAGCCCTTTCCCCTTATTTTAAGTAGAGATAAAAGTATACTTGTGTTTATTCATTTTCCTATTCAAGTTCCTCTAAACTTCAAAACCTTCCTTTGGCTGGAACCCCCTACAGTGAAGAGCAGATCTTATTCCCCCTCACAAATGTGCCCAGGAGCTCACCAAAGAGCCCCCAACCTCCACCACACCAAGCACATGCACACAGGCAGCGGCAAGGAGTCCCTGCGCATTCGGAGAGAGAAGTGTGAATAAAAGCTCCCACTCTGATTGTTCCTTGGGCTAGGATGGAGGGATATGGTTCTGACCTGATGTCAAGCTGAAGCAGTCTGCTGAAGAAGAATGCATGAACTGCTCATCATAAATAGCCTCTCCAAAAGTCATTTTTTGAGCGTATGGGTAAGGCAGTATGCTGAAAACTCATGCTCTGCCTTTCTGCAGAGGCATCAATGGCATCCGTGGGATCCTCACGCATCTGCAGCTACCTGGATATAAATCCTCAAGTGTCTCCCATGGGAAGGATGTACCTTAGCAGAGAGCTGACCACTGCGAGCAGTGAGAAGAACTCTTCCTCCCTTCTGCTTTCACAGCACAAGCACAAAGCAGAGCTGTGTTTGATGGGACCAGGACCCCATCAAGCCGTTCCTAAGCATGAATTTCGGAAGTGGATGCACGTGCAAGGTGAGTCGGTGGCCGGCCGGCCAGCCAGCACGCTCAGCAACGCGTCCCTGGGAGTCCCAGCAGCTCCACTGACCAAGAACCCGGACGGCACCAGGTCCCATTTGGTTCTGCCACGGAGACAGACAGGAGCACAACTTGCTGGAGAAGAGGAGGGGCTGAAGGCCCCTTAGCACCGGCTACGGGAGCGCATTCGCGCCCTGCTGCCTGCACACAGGCCCCTGATCAGCTTGGCCATCGTGCACATGGAGACCGAGGTGGAAGAGGGTAAAAGCTGGTCCTGGATCGCAAGGTGTAAGCCCGCCAGTGCATCGTGTCTGCCCCAATGCCAACCTCCAGCAGGAGCATCCAGCTGCAGGTGAGCTTGGTTTTGGTTACTGCCGTGCCCTGTGTTTTTGGGGGGTCACATTGCACTAACCCAAAACCTACATGTTTACAGAAAATTCCATGTTTTGCCAAAGTAATTTTATCTCCTCAGCATGGACGCTGCTTATTTCAGCTTGCAGGATGCTCACAATTCCTACAAGAAATGCTGAGATTTAAGATTTTCTGAAAAGCAATGACCCTGGCTACAAAGCATGCACACCAGATGGCTTGTTAACAGAACTGCTTCRGTTCTGACCACTAAAACTTGAAATCCTGCAGATCTTGCTCTCACAGCAAATGCAACAGTGCTTTTATACCACCAACATCTTAAAGAACTAAAGGTGCTAAGAATGGTGATAATAATGACCAAATTAATTGCAGCATCAAGGAACAAGAATGGAAAAGATCCTTTAACTCTTTCAYATATGAGAATAAATTTAATCTTGGTGTTAATGAAGCATAATAGGAAGACTATCATAAATAGGATGAAAGCTTAATTTGTAACCAGTTTAAGGAAAGCTCAGCAGAGGAAGGGACACTCTACACCAAGTGGCATGAACTGTGTCCCAGGGCAGTGAGAGCTGCAGAACAGGGAAGCAATTCATTGAACTCTGCCTGTTGTAGACAGAGGAAGAGGATTCCTTATCATGCAGAACTTCAATAAATGTTATGCTTCCTGTGCTGTGCTTGGACTTCATTCCCAGCCTCCTCACTGCCCAAAATACTGCAATGGAGAATTCTGCAGAGAACTCCAGATTGCGCGAGGCAGAGAGGAAAGATTATTTTATTATGAATGTAACACTGAGATACTCGCAGTCATGGACAGGGACCCCGCTGTGCTGCGGACCAGGGCAGACACAGAGCAAAACTCTAACTTGCTCCAGGGAGTTTGCAATCTACGCTTAAAGACGCAGCATTTGTGCACATACACACGTGCACATACACAAACACAGAAATTAGCTGCAAAAGAAGAGTGGAGAATACAGTATCAAGCCCAGTACATCCCTTTGTTAAGTCTTTGTGGGAAACATGAGAAGGTAGAGTTTGGAGGAGGGATTTCAAAGAAAGTAATAAGATTTTGGGGGGGTGCTATTTGGGTGGAGTTCCACCCAAAAGAGCAGTAAAAAATGTGAAGGTGCTTCTTTGGAAACAAAAAGAAAATGCAGTCTCAGATCAGGCATTGAAGGAGAACTTCTGCACATGAATTACAGGCAGCCTGTGCAAGGTTGCAAGGTTCCTCAAGTAAAGACAAAAGCAGTTCAGTTTGATGCCATATAGAAACGGAAGGSACACAGACAACGAGGGGACAGAACACACAGCCCTGCCAGTTCAAGAAAACTGGAATAAATGTGGTCAGGGTCCTGCCCTCTCTGCCATCTGACTACTTCCCTTGCCTTGCAGTGGTGTGTGGCTGATTTAATGCTTTATAGCTCAGAGCCCTAAAAGAGAGAGAGAATTAATCCCAATAAAGGAGTGACTTTTTGTCAGTTTAACACCCTAAACATGCTTGCTGCTGGCTAGTCACATACAAGGCAAAGCAAGGAGAGTAAAGCTGCTGTGAATGGGAGCGCCCTATTGATAGCTAGTTATTTTACTGATATGTTGCACTACCCACAACAGACTGGGAGCTGGAAAGATCTGGAAGCTTCATGGCTTGACATAACACTGGCCCTGCTCTCYGTCAGGTCTCTTCGCTGGTGTTTGCAGCTCCTGTAACAGGGCTGAGAGACACTCACACCTCGGGCTCCCCCTTCCTCTAGTACAGCCGGTAACTGCTGCCGAAAGAGGGAGTCCTGCCCTTCCCACTTCCCCAGCTGCAGGATTCTCCTTCAGCCTCCTCTGCTCATAGCAGAGTCTGGGTCAGACAACTGATGCGCCTGGAAATTAACTCTTTAATTTGCCCCATCTGGCCACCCACAGCACCAGGCAAGCGCTGCTGCTTCACACAAGAAAGGGAGTAGGACCAAGAGACCCTGTTGACTGCAGCTTGAAATGATCTCTGTCATCTCCTCAGCTCACAGAGYGGGTATGGGAGGAAGGTCACAAAGCTCTTACCAAAACTGACTGTGCGGCAGAGTGTCATAGCTTTGCTTACTCCCGTTAACAGGAAGTTCCATCTGAGCTGGAAATTGGCTGCCACTTTTCTCARCTCCTCTTTACTCTTGCTTGGCTGCAAGTAAGAGAAAAAAAAATGCTTTATGACGAAGCTAATTAAAAGAACTCATGACAGTATTTCCAAATACAAAGTGCATGCAAAGGTGGGACAAGCAGTTGCTTGGTTAGCATCCTAGCTCAGCTTGAAAGGGGCCTCTGGATGCCATCTCGTGCAACCCCTTGCACAAAGCAGTTTGCGTTAGTTGAACTTGCTCATAGCCCTRTCCAGTCACCTTTTTCAGTCAAGAAACACCTCTGAGGATAGAGATTCCACAGCCTTTCTGGGCAATCTCTTCCCAGCTCCAGCCACCCTCATGGCTCCATCTTCTCCACGCCATCCCATGGACAGCCAAAGGCTCTGTGAGCTGAAGGCACCACAGAACAGCAGGGTGCTACTGCTAGCAAAAACCACACAAATTCCTGGGAAATAATTAAGCTGAAGTGGTAGAGTGTACCCTGCTTTTTCAGAAAGGGAAGAGAAGTCTCCAACCAGCCCTGGCCCCACGTGGTGAAGCCACGTGAGAAGGCCGGGGAACCACCAAGCTGCTGCTGCTGCTGCTGCTGCTGTACACTCAATGGAGCTGGGGCAGGGCTGCACAGAGAGGCCCGTGCACAAAGCTGGCTGCACCGAACGGGGTCTGGAAGAGGCGCCCGAGCCGCCGCACGAGCCCTCAGCCCTCCCGCCACCTGCTCGAACCGACAGTGACACCGCCCAGCAGCGCCAGGAGCTGGGAAGCGCTCCCTTCCTTCTACAAGCCGTTTTTCTTGGGGATCTCCTTTTCTAGGAGTGTTGTAACTGGTGCCTAAAAGGTGGGACYGGAGATAGGGGGATCGCCGGAGTGGATGCATGCACAGACACAGGCCCCAGGCTGCCTGCACGGATGCAATTCCCGTGTGCCAATTGGCTCCCCCTTTTCCGCCGCGTGCACAAACTGCCCTGATGCAAACGGGCTGTCTGCGCAGGCTGCGGGGGCACGATGCGAGTCCTGCACTACCCATAAGTCAGCATCAAACACGATAAAGGGTGTGATCACCCTTTCTCTTCTGGAAATGACAAAGTGGATTTTATACCTCTATGACAAAAGCCTGGAGATTGGAAGACAAACAGTTCAGGAAAATCCGAATATCCGTGGAATTGTCCAGCAAAGCTATTAAGTCATTCAAGCCTAGAAAACATGCAAGGGAGATACATTACTTCAAGTGGTTGGTTTGCTTTTCGGTTCGATTTGCAATTTTTAAGCTTTTTTCACCTTCAGTTTAAAATATGTTAATATGTTAAAATATGTTTATAGCATCTTGATTAATACACTCATATCATTCTTTTACTGYGAAATTGTATCCTACTCTGAAACCAGTCCTATTCAGATTTATGTCTACTTCTAGCCTGGCTCTATYGACCTAGACATCATAGCAGAGGTTTTATCTGTGGAGGGGAAGAAAACTGCTTTAAATAATAACACAGAATATTCTGTTGACCAGCAAAGATAGGTAATATTGCCAGATACCAGAGCAGCTATATCACTAAAAGGTTAGAATCTACTTTTCAGCCACAAAAATTACCTCCCTGTTGCACCTCTCTGATTTACACTCTTCTAAGTGACATGTCTTCCTTCAGGAGGGTTAAGTGTATTAAGCTTGTGAGACCTTATTTATTACATATCGAAACTCACAAAGCAAAAAAAGCAGAAAAGGCAGTCAATCCACTTGAAAAGAATAAGGCATTAATTAAAGATAATGAAATATTATTTGAAAGATTTTCATGGTGCTTCTGTGAAGGAGGCAATCATTCCGCCTGCACAGGGCCCCAGCCGTGGCAGCCTGGGGACCAAGAGCTCACGTGCTCGCTATCACTTCGGTGCACAGGCTACTTCCAGCTGCCTCTTGCTAATAATTGGAACGGCAGCTCCTTAATCCAGGAATTATCTTGCCACGACATTCCCATCGCTCTTCATTAAGCTGGCACGCAYGTCATGTCGTCGCTCCACACAACCAGGGTTTTACTGTGTACAGCGCAGTGGCAACTGAAGAGGCTGCACGACAGAGCTACAAGCAACATGCAGTATTTCAAACCCAGCTACACGAAAGAATTTTGTGTATTTAGATTAGAAACAGAGGAAAATGCAGTGTGCAACACTTTCAACTTTTTTTTATCACAGCAAACAGTACCAAAGGAATATCCCTGTTGGTCAACCCTCTCATAGAAGCCTATCCTTTAATAACACAAAACCCTCCCTGTCTGCCACAGAAAGCTTTAAGACACAACCAGAACTGAAAGCCTTTCATTCTTAACCTTTAAAGTGACAAGGATAATGTTACATGCTCCACTCTCAGCTTTATTGGCTCTTTCCCAGCACTTAGGGCTACYTCAAGCCAGTAATACCCAGTAGGGTAGATACCACGAATAAACAAGAGGAAATGCTGGAGCTTTAACAATGTCGAGCAAGGGCTTAAGAGGATAGAAGAGACACAAAAAGATATTACATTTGAGCTCTATGTCATTCTCCACTTCATCCGGATCCTTAAACTTCTTCTGAAAGGGGTTTCCATGAATATCCACAAATCCCTGGTCGATGACAGCATGCAAGTCTGCCTTCAGCACAGTGACTTTGCTGTTGTTGTTCAAGACTATCCTCATTGTCTACAGAGAAGAAGAAAATAGTGAACGTCTGTCATTTTGTTAGGTCCTTAGCTCAGGCAAAAAGCTTCCCTTATTCAATGCTAGCTTTAAATATGTATACAGCTCCCAAATGGAGGGGAAAAAAAATCAAAGGGGACAATTTTTAAGTGCTCATCAAGCATTTTTTTGTKCTGCCTAACATTCTTTTCAATGACACGTTGTATTGCTGTGTGTGATGGAGCAGACAAGGCAGGCAGACACTTAAAATATCTGGGCAATTGCCTGGGCAGTCGTTAGCCTATACCTATTACAGTGAGGCCAAATAGCAGAATTTTGTCTAAAACATGGAAAGATGCATCAGGACGAACTTTCCTGCAGTGCCACCTTTCCTTCACATACGTTTCAATCAAAGGCAGCTATTCCCAAATTACTCAGAAGTTTGAGAAGCTAAAAATAACACTGGAATCTTCAGGGGAAAAAATGGTTTAAGTAAAAATATATAACAGGAGATTTTATTTCACTTACCTGTTTTGAGTCATTTATGGATGAGCATTGTTTCCTAACTGYGCTACTCACTACAGGTACTGGGCTACTCAGCACAACCCTGCCCAAAATCTTTGGCAGACCTTGAGGAACTGCCTGTTGCTTCCCCACTTTTTGCAGTCAATAACCAGATCACACAGCACTGCTTCAGATTCCCAAATGAAACATTTTAAGGGGGAAAACAGTGAAGAACATTTAAACTAAAGGCATTAACATTCATTAAACTGTACACTTGGTCTCTCTATTTCACACTAGCATCAGTAGGAGCCCAAGGTACCGAGTTTGGRCTTTTTAGTGCATAATGAATAACGCGTGCCCAGTTTGGCCAGAAAACTAATACAATTCAGAAAAAAAAAAGGCAGGATTCACAAACATCTCCAGAAATGCCATTCATCATAAGCATGATAGCAAGCACTGCACCTCACCAACAGCAGTGAATCCAGCTGCCTGCTTGTTTACAAATGTAATTCCCAATCCAGTGATTTTTGTTTTTCATTATTCCACTTGTTTTGCTGAAACATCAACAGCACCATGATACTGACAATCTTTTTCCACGGAGTTAAAACCAGAATGTCTCTCCTCATTTTACTTGGAGCTTCCAGTTAAGCTGCTGCTTAACACAAGAACRCCCAACCTGGGCACTAAAAAGGAACTACTAAGCACGCAGCCTTCAATATGCCACAAACATCCAACTACAAATTCCAGAATTTTGGACTCCTTTCCTGAGTCACTGCACTTCAGCAGACCAGGCAGAGCACCTGGGTGCCTGGAGGAGCCCTGACAATGCTCGCACACTCCCGACGAGAGGCAGAGTAGCCACAAGTAACGACATGCCTTTCATCCCTGTCCCTCTCTCACTGGGAATTCCCACCTCTCCGAACTCTACCCATTACATCTACACGAACAGGCAGCACCAGTTGCCAACCTGCTTTCCCTACACACGATGGGGAAGTTACTTCTTCCTTTTGAATGCTGAGCCTGACCAAACCATCTGTATTTTCTCACTGGGTGGCTAAACTCCTGCCAAGTGCCCTGCAAGGGGGGTGCCTGCCCCATTCGGACAGGGCAGCAGCAGTGCCCCTGCGGAGCTGCTCAGCAGGAGCACAGCGACCTGCTCAGACCAGCAGCCCCCAGCTGAAGCTCAGCATGTGTTTTGACAGAAAAAAAAAAAAAAAAGCAGAAAAGGATGATTAGAAATAACAAATGACCCTTGCATGAGAAGATTAAATACAATTCAACTCAGGGTAGAAATAACTGAAGGAAAATCATCTAGCAGATGACCCCTTCAGGCCACACAACCGCTGAAAGATTATGGGGACGTTCACTCACCAGAACTACACAATTTCATTTGCTGAAATCCTGATTTTTCAATAGCTAATGGCTCTAACAGTCAGATATACTGGAACTCGTTTGCCCTTCTCCTGCATCTTCCAGAGGCCCTGGGGCGCCTGCAAACATCGTTTCCTGGTGCGAGTGGTGCGAGGAGCAGGGCCCGGCTCGGGGTGCAGTCGGCTGTACCTCCATGTGAGCCACACGTGCAGCTCGACCAGCTGCACTCGGTGCTGGCTAAATGGTGTCGGGTGGATGGAAAGCAGCTCGAGGCAGCCACGAGAGAATCCCCCCAACTAGGCTGAAATTTGCTCAGGGTAAAGCACAAGGGTACAAATTAAAGTTGACTCCCTCAGGCTTTTTCCTCACACGAGGAATGGGCAGGGAAGAATCCAAAAGCTCCAACCTGCTCCTTGACAGAGAAATGAAGTCCAAACACACAGATCAGCTTCAACCAGCCTAGGAAGAGCTGGCACTCCCACACTTGTGGGGTAAGTTCTTTGATGCGCCAAGCTCTGTTCAGAGGCGCAGGAAGCTGCACTTACCAAGTGCCCAGCAGCAACGAGGCTGCTGCAGCAAACTGAAATGGAGGCTGCTGGGAACCTCCCAGGGACAGACCCTTTCCTAGCACATGGACCTATATTTTTGCATTCTTTTTCCCCCCCTTTTTTTTTTCCCTTTTATTTTTACTTTTTTACCTGAGTGAASCATGGCTCTTGCACATCACCGGCCATGAGGCTGTCCCAAGCTACAATTAGCGAGGGAAGATCTGACACCAGCATGGAGTCCAAAGAGCCACTGCTCCCCTTGCCATTCCCTTCTCTGTTGGGACACAGTGCAGTGATCTAACCCAGCCAGTATCTTGGCAGAAACCTGCACTTGCTCTTGAAGCAGAGGAGCCAACATAGTGCCCGTTTTCCTCTGCTTTCTCCCCTATTCATTGCCTTTCTCTTCTCTTGTATCCTGGGCCACTTTGAAAGCTGAAGATTTGGAGACATCTACAGCCAGCAATGGAAGGAACCTTATGGGAGGGTGCAGCTCGTTGCACTAAAACAGCACTGAGTAACTGCAGCTGCCTGAAACAACACATGACACCACGTGCAAGGGGCTGAGGCTTCTTCTCTGTCACTCCAGCTGAGAAGAACGATACCGTAGAGCCAAATGTAACTGGAGATACAGCTCAAGAACTCCCATTTTGTCTCACTCTTCCCAAGGAAAAAAGCCAGTGATGGCCCTGGTGTCTGGATTCACGGATGCTGGAACTTACCTTAGCCATATTAGAAAGGTATGTCTTTCTTCTGAGTCTTTTTACGAACACGGTAACCTCTGTTAAGGCAGAAGAGACAGCCGTTTCAGATCACTGGTATTTTACATTCCAAAGACAGCAAAGATGATGGATCTTTCATGTGAGAAAGCGGCTCCCCGAGGGAGCCCAGGAACAGGCTCAGGGACCCTGCTGCTGTAAAGCCCACAAGATGCCTTGGTTACCACTTTCCCTCCACCGCAAACCTGCTAACCAAGGGCACAAAGGAAAAATACTTCAAATATACATACATATATACATACAAGGCTATATAAAGAGCTTAAATCTTCACTTTTGTGCATCTATAAATCTGCAGCACCATTGCTAACACTTCATTGTTTTGGTTCTATTTGTTCCCATTCCTAATATGTCAGTATAACAAAAAGCATGCTCCAGGAGTATCATTTTAAAGAATAAAACAAAAAAAAATGGATTTTTTCATGAACAAAAGATTGAGTATTAATTTACTTACACAATCTGGCAGACAAGGAACAGTTTTCAAGCGAAAAGGCTTTCAAGTAAAAATTCTTCCCTACAGTGTGTACCAACCAGAAAGCGCAGGACGTCTACAGACAGCTCGGGATCTGGCTAACGACCTACGCTTCCCTGGACACAAGCACGCTGAAAATACATTCCTCAGTCTGCACCGTCTCATGGGCACAAGATAAGACGGACCAGAATTGAGCCCGACAGTGCAAATCTGGCCAGCCAAATAATGGGAATCCAGCCCTCTGCCCGCACAGGAGCCCTGCTCTGTCACCGAGATGGGTTTCGTGCCATCAGCAACTGAGCAATATTTTGCTTTAGCCAACTGCTTTGGCATCATATATAAATACATATATGCATTTACATATGTGTTTACAAACACACACATACGCATAGTTTTATACATCACACACTATTTAAATTCTATTCTAATGACAGCCACAGTTTCCTTAAGGGCCTATGGCATTTCTTTTTTTCATTTTACTATTGAACTGTCCTATAGCTATTAATTAACTTATATTTATAAGGGCTCTTGCGAGGTAAAGAGACAGATCAACACCTGTTGGTCAGACAGGATGCCTTCACTGCATACTGTTCCTAACCATCTACATAGCCGGAGTGACCATGACAAAAGACAGAGCTTTAAAAATAGTTAAGCACACTTKAATTTACCATAAACTGGGAATAATTTGGCTTAAATTTGTTCTCATGTATTTGAGACCATTTATTTTCACCTGTACTCCAACTAGCTCTAGTCCTCATTACAAACAAAACAACATCAGCTAAGAAAAGTTGTAAGATTATGCAACTGCCTTGCAATATGGTCTCCTCTGCAGTATAAGCAGAGATTATTTTCCTAAAATCTGTTTCTCCAACATACCTTTAAATTTGGACTTTCGGAGCGGCAGTGGAAACTCTTGCAGAGCATTCAGCAGCCAAACTTTAAYGTTTTTACTGAACATTCGGATCGACTTCAAGTACTGGATAGACACATCCTCCAGGAAGTCGTTAAGTAAAAGGTTCTCCATCTCCTACAACACAGATTCATGGAACTGCCTAGGATYGGTGTGCTACAGATGTTTACAGCAGCATGAAACAAAGTTATACTTATGGCTTAAGCATAAACTACACCGAAGTCCGTTTTTTCCTCCATGGAAGTCACTAGTTAAGCTATGTTCATTTTATTAGCAGAAGGAAGGAGATCCCACCTACAAACGTTTCCTGGATTCATAACTAGATGATACTTAATGGCTGTAAATAATAAGCAAACTGTTTTCAACAGCAAAGTGACTATTTCTATGTGGAAAGTCACCGAGAAAGTCTATGCAGTAGCATTGGCAAAGGGAAAAATAACACCCTCATAGTTGGGAAAACAGCTCTCAGTCACTATTTCAGTCCCATGTCTGCACATGCCAGAACTGACTAGACTGGTAACAGCCTCCTCTGTTGGAGGCTTTCAAAGGGATCTATAGCAGCAAAATGGAAGCGCTCTCAAATTCCACGGATTTCTTTCAAAATCTGAACTGTGCTATCTCAAAATAAAAAACAAAGAACAGACTGGAGGTTCAAATAAGAATCCCACTGTACAGCACATAGGAAAACAACTGCTCTTTTGTCTCGGGTAGAGCCACTGTCAAGGTCCAAGCACATAATAAAATAATTACAACAAACAAATGTGCCTACAGTACCTTGAATAGCTGCCTATCATAGCATGTGAACAGCTGGCACACATCTGGCAGTGACATCAGTGCTGTTGCTTCAGGCTGCAGAGACTTCCAGAACGACATGATACAGTCTTCAACCTATTGAACAAATTATTGCTCCATTAATTTCCAATACATTTCCACTTGTGAGATGTGAGGCACAATTCAGCAAAGCACCTCACACTAGCACAGAAGCAAACAAATTATTTTTGAGTTTTGGCTGAAAATTTTTGTCCTGGCCAGGCTCAAGCATCCTGGGGTACCAAAGCTGAACACAAGCTTGAAGCTTGCAAGGGAGAGCAGGAAAGGAAGGAGGAGCAAAGACACATAGCTCTGCTGTAATGGAAGATACGTGTCCATGGCCACCGTTTTGTGTTTAGCTTGGACCTGCTGGCATGCTAGGAATGACCGGCATAAGCCTAMAGGATCAAGTCCTCAGAGCGCCATGTTACATTAATTAAAAATCCCAGCATKATTTGACTGAATGTGCCTAATCCACCTCAGATGAGACCCTTGGGTACATAAGCTGCAAAGCAGCAAGTTCATCCCCACACTGTCATGGAAAGGAACATTTCTCTAGCAAGGCCTACCTTGTCAAGCTCTTCTCTTCTCACACTGTGTAAAATATCCTGACAGTAGCTGCAATACTCATCTGCAAGCAGCGCAACCTGGAGGCCGTGAACAAAAAGGCTGCATGAAAAGATCCTACCTGCGAGGAGCTAATTTGCTCGACCAGTGAATGTTTAAACACACCAGCTCATAGGGGTGTTTCTTCCCCAGCTCTTGCTCCCAGGAATAGAATCTCCTGAATTCAGGCAACGAGTATTCAAAGCTGTCGTCTTCGTTCTTCAAATTAACGACAAGAGGGAAACATGGCAAATCGTTACTCTCAGTGCAAGAGATTTAAAAAAATTTTTTTTTTAAATCACACAATTATCCTGTCACTTGTATTAAAGGTATTAAGTATTTTTTTAAGTTTTTTTTTTTAAGTTGCATAAGATTTTAAGAGCATGTATCTCTCCACAGCAATGCTTGTCCCTCTCTCTAGAAAGCGAGAGTGGATGACATAAACAAGCAGATTTGGCTAAATATTTAAATCCTAAAGAGCATATCCATTTCTTTCCAAAGCAAGCGAGTATTTAATACTCTTGCACGTGTATTTTCCACAGCACTCATTCCACACTTGCAGCCTCCTGACCAAGGCTGCAGCTAGCTGGCTGTGCTACGGAGGGCACAGCCCGTTTCCCATCAGCTGTCACTCCACGCATTCAGTGCCCTCACTGCCCTACTGCAGTGCCCTGTGAGGACAGGCCACGTGGCCTCCTCTTTGGCGTCGCCTTGGTCCTCTCTGCTGCTGCTGCTGCTCCTGCTGSGCTGCAGCAGCGGCCCATTCATGACACAGGTCTTTGGGAAGGGGCCCCGGCCAGCCSGGCCCCTGCCCTTCTCGCTCAGCAGGGACTGGGTTTTCTTAGTCCCTCCCAGGGAGTTGAAGCCTGAGGGGGCCTCACCCCATGGGGCTGGGCCCACCAACCCCCCCAGCACCAAACCCTGGGCACGCAGCCACAYGTTCCACGCTCTGCACAGATAAAATCATTAGCGCTGACAGTGAGACAATAAAAATATTTTACTGGCAGGTGAAGTAAGCCTCGGAGGGGGTTATTCAGTGAGGCTATGCAGGGAACGATTCCCGTGTGTTAACTGCCCTTCATCAGAACGTTTCGCACAGCAGTTCTGTTCAAACATCCAGCTTTGATCCAACTTGGCTCTAAGCRTAACTTATCCAAAACTCACTGTTCCTTGGTTTTGGCTATTGCTCCTGTAACCAGCTGCATCTCCAGTACTGCCGGCATCTCCGCTGTGGTGAAACRCACAACAGAAAAACCCTTTAAAAAACCCACCAATTCCGTGTGTGTTTAGCATGCACACCACCTCACCCCGGGCAGAGGGCACTAGGCTGAGGCATTGTGCAAACTGCAAAAAAAATCTTGTCATTCAGCACCCCCGTGATTTTCAAATAAGCCTGAACAGCCAGTTCTTCATTCTAAGATACAATTGAGTCATCAGAAACACAGCGAAGCATTAGCCGTTGAACACCACAGAGTCGTCTACCTTCTTGTACCAAAACCATGATTTTCTGTTTATAATTGTAGTCCCTTAGGAATGATCWAAATAATTCTAAATTGTTTTAATTCTTGAATTATTCTTTAAAATATTCTTTAAAATAATTTCTATTTTTTTTTTAGAATAATCATTCTAAATTCTAAATGCAAAGAATGAAAGCAGAACCATCCCTGTGCTTGGGGATGGTATCCCGAGCATACCCATTCCCTGCACCCTCCATCAGTTCAGAAAGCCAGCTAGGAACATTAGGACTGTCCCAGGTTCCCTTGCAAGCCTCCCACACTGCTCCACACCTTCAGAATCCATGTGGACCTGCAGAGGAGCTAATCTGACAATTACCCTGGAAAAAAAAAAACAGGAATGTGGGAACTAAAGGCTGCTTTCTTGCTTCAACATCTCTTCCCTCTCTCTCCGCCAGTTTCAATGAGGCTGATCCTCAAGGAGAGAGAGGCCATGAAGCTGCTAGGAAAAGAGACGTGCCGGGAGACTTGGACTTGTCTGCTTGAAGCCCCATCTCTTGATGACACCCGCTCACTGCCCGTGAAGTCGCCTCCAACCCCGGGGTCCTCTGTGGTTATTTGGGAGGCCCCGGGAGGGCTTTGGGAACACGAGTGCCCGGAAGGCAGCAGCACTCAGCCGGTCCCGCCAGGCACCGCCTGCGCTCGTGACCGCAGCCTTTCTCTGCCCCACTTCCCACCAGCCTGGCTGCCACCAGGGGCACTGAAGAGGCAGCAGCAGAAACGCAGCAGCTCGGGAACTCAGCGCCTCGCTCCCGATTCTCTTCATGGTGTCACTAGGACAGGGACCAGCTCCCGGCYGCAAGCCTGACCCCCGCCACGTGACCAACCACCCCTGCCTCTGCTGCTGCTCTCTGCCACGCAAGCTGCGCGCCGCTGAGGCAGAAAGCAGCCTGCCAAGGCCTGCCGTGGGGCACGGCCTCACACCTCGACACCGCTGGCGCTCGACCACCCTCCTTCCCACCCGCTCTGCCTGGGGGCCCTGCTGCGACGCGACAGGGACGGGGACAGCAGCGTGTGCAGCCCCAGGGCAGAGGCCTCGGCCTCTCCTCCGAGCGCTCAGACTTACCCAGTGYCCAGGCACGCGCCGGGCTGGCACGCGGAGCGGTCCCTTCCCGCGGCGCCGGCGGCCGGGGGCCTGGAGGAGACACGGGCAGAAAGAGCCGGTCGGTGGAATAAGGAAACAAACAAGGAAAAGGGGTAGCAATGGAATCGCAAGGGATTAAGCTCTATGTCCTGCTCAGTTCTGATGATGCCATGAGGGGGGAAGTGGAGCTCAAATGGGAAACACCATGATTGGGCTGGAAAGAAACTCATAGAGGAGGCAAACAGGAGGACAAAGGAGGAATGAAACGAGGGGGCTGGTGAACATGCATGCTGCTGCTATCAGCTTATACTGACATTACTTCAGAAGGCCCTGTTAATGTTTGTCACTGTCACTGCTGAAGAATCACACTGGATTTTTTTATAAAAACACCCCATGTTTGCTTCACTASAAAACCAGGGGCCGCAGCCTCCCGCACTCACAAAGCAGCTCTCACGCCGCCGAACGTGCGGCCGTTTCTGTTACTCCGCCACCACCCTCCAGGCCTCGCCGCGCCGCCAGAGACGGGGCCATCCCAGGGAAAGCGCCTCCTCAGAGCTCCCGTTCCCCAGGACACGCTGCTGTGACCCAAGCCGCCAACACGGCAAGCTCCTTCACACCTCGCCTGCCGCTGGCCCCTGCCAGCCTGCAGCCCTGGACAGCGGCTTACAGCCACGTTCACGGCACCAGCACCAGCAGTGGGGCGGCAGCACCGGCCGCCTCGGATTTCACAACCCTGCGACCCACACGAGTTTGAGGAGAAGGTGGTCGGCACCGCCCTGCGCCCCCAGCTCACACATCCCAGCTGTGCCTATCAAAGCCCCCTGGCCTCTTTTGGAGTCCTGGCAACAACTGCAGCCCCCCCGCTATTTACACTGCACCAACAAGCCGAGCTCCTGCCCCGTTAGTCTCTCCAAGGGCCCAGCTCCTTCTTAGCAGCACCTGCTGACTCCCAGCAACCTTAACATGGTCGGTGCAACAGAAGGAGCATCCGCGCCCTGGCARGCTCAGGCCACCACGTCCTGTCCTTGCCCAGGGAGATGGTCACAAGGGCTGCGTCCAGCCCGCTCCACCACTGGGTGGAAATTCCCACCGGAGCGGCTGGGGCCAGTGGAGCTGTGGCAGGTCCAGCTGTCCTGCTGGCCGCCAGGACAGCGGCACCTCAGCCAGAAGCTCATGCTGGGAAAAGGCCCAGGGTCTGATGGATTTGCTTCCTACTAAAGAGGGGRAAAAAAGTTTGGTGATGGTAGTTATGCCAGTTGTACAGGATCAATCGAGAATAATTCTCAATTCAGAAAGCTCTCAGCCCTGTACAGGTCAGCCCATCGGTGCTGTTATCCCTTGCAGGCCTTTAATTCAAAGCAGGGGTTCTGCAAGTGGCTCCCATCAGAGCAGGAACCCATTAACAGCCACGTATTTTCTTCATGTGTTCCTAAGGAAACGAACCTACTTATTTGGTACAAGCTGCATTTTATCTTGTTGCTAGCCTAATTATTTTTTTTCATGCTTTTCTGCCTCTGCTTTGTGCTTTTTCACTCCTTTCTCTCTCTCAGTTTCTTTTCAGTAAAGAAGATTTAGAAGCAACTGGGACACTGAGCTGCCCAGGTGTTCCCGATGTGCACGCTGGCTCTGGGCAGTGACAAGTGGCAGTATGTGAAGTGGAAGCTGTGCTGAGGCTTTACAAGACAGCTTCATCACTTCTTGTAACTGTCTTAAACAAAAGCAGCACTGGGCAAAAGCACCACATAGTTATGAGATCTTTCTTTTGAAGCTGGGAAAGCGGCCTGATCTGAACCTATTTATATCTCCTGAGTTTTTAAATTTGGAAAAGTTATTCCAGGGATCTGCACCAAGATCACTCCATGGCACCTGGTGCAAGATTTTTCTCTGTAGTACATCCCTTTTTCCTCCATCCGACCACATGAAAGCTCACTTTTTGGGAGCAGGTGTCCTGAAAGACCACTCTGGCTGCTTAGGGGAAAGAAACCAGAGACCCCACAGTCAGTGCAGTGGCTCCCATGCAAGTAAGCAGGGCCTCTAGCTCCAGCAGCTTCGCCAAGGTCACTTCTGGACAGCTGCCCTTATTCTTGTAATACGAGTTGCTCTTATTTTTGTAGGCCTCTACCCCCTGCKCCTGCCCTTGTGTATCACCAGAACTCAGCTCTCCTTCTAGACACACCAAGCTAGCAGTTTTCAAGGGACAGCTCAGGAAGAAACACTACTCTTTTCCTGAAGGAGCAGCATCCCACATCTGCAATATTTCCTGAAGAGCAGCCAAGAGTCTTCCCATTATGGATGCCCAACCTCAGGCCCGTTCCGATGGCAGCGGGTGCCCACAGTAGCCAGTGACAGCCCTTTAATAGGGGTGAACTCAATCTCCAGCTGCCTAAGGGTAATTTGTCAGCCTCACAACAACTGGTTGCTACTTGATCACATTCAGGGTCTGATTCTTTAGCCTGGCACCATTGCCACCCTATGGACTTCTGCACCGTTACTCTGCGACAAAGTCAGGGGAGCRGGGCAACAAATCCCATCAGTATAATCTTCCCAGTCTCCTGCCCAACGTATACTCGGTTAGGTAGGTACCTGTATTCTGAAATATCCAAACACTGAAACAACACTCACCATCACGAAAATATCTGGATGCTTTCTGATATAGCATTACTCATGCCATAAAGAAATGCTATTAGCCCCACCTGAACAAATGGACAGCAGAACACAGCAAGCACGTTAAGGCCATGAGCAAGTATGTGAAAGAGTGAGGACACAAAGCTGGGTCTCCCAACCCCAGGGCAAAGGCTGTGCCCATTTTGTTTCTCCCATGCACATAAAATTGCACGTTTGTCCCATGCAAAACCGTTCAAGGGTGGATTTTGCTGTGGCAGCTTTTCAGCCACGAGRGCTCTTTCTAGCCCTGCCTATGACTGGAACATGACCGAGTCTGCTGCTCACACTCTGCRAAAGTATCTTACATTCTTCAATTGTTTTGAGAGTTTGAATTTCTGCAAGCAGTTCATATTCTTGTCTTGTATGTTTTCTCATTGCTGCTTCCTTACAAGAGATGATTTTAAATTGTGTAATTTCAATACAAATAACGAATATGCTTTCAAAGCAATATGTCTCATAAGTCCAAGCAGTCAAAAAAGAAAAAAGCAAATAACCAATGACTACAGGACTCTCCTCAAAACAACGCAGCCACTTATACTTCAATACTTCCAGCCTATTACTTAACAAGGAAGCTGCTACAAAGTCATGAAGCAATTGTTGATATGTTTATTTTAGCTCCCATTTAAATTCTTAGTATATTAGTTCTTTTTTCAACTCTAGCAAGAGTTCCTGCTTGGAAGATCTCTGTGTTTTATGTGCTGAATCCAAGGAAGGCCAACTGAGCAGGCCTAATTATTTRAAATGGAGCTTCTCTATCAATGACACTACTTAATGGCATAACGTTGTAAGAAGAAAAATACTATTTTCAATGTTCATTAGGCCTCTATATGCAGACAATATAGAGACTTTTGTACGACCTTTTATGATTAAAGCATTCAAGAAACAAACCTGTGATTTTTTTTTTCAGACAGAAGAGAGCAATAACGTGCATAAAAGGAAGAACTCTTCTTGACATATATTCCATCATAATGATACCTACAAAATAAAAAAAAAAACTGACAGAACTACAATTTCCAAGATAAAGCCAGAAAAAAATCATATTCCCTTAGYTGATCATTCTGTTTAGACAAGAGCAAGTAAAAAAAAGGCTACTTTTTTATTTTAATTATGTTGAAATATTCCCCAAAATAGGATAATGGTACATACTCAACTAGTTTTTCTAGAGTGACTTTGCACACTTCTGAACAATTTTAGTGCTGCAACAATACCTTTTTGTAAATGAACAAACAGTAAGTAAACTGATGCAGTGCAAAAACTCTTACAAGACAATTACATAAGTGAGGGAGCAGGGTCTGAGCTGGGCCAAGTCCCTGTATGAAGGTGAAGGACTGAGTCCAGCTGCACTGTGATTCACAGTCAATATGGACTGGATGGCACAGCTGGTGTCCTAACAAGTTAAAATCAGGAATTCTGCAAGACCTGATCTAAATTTTCTGCCGGTTCTTGGTGAGCAGCACAGTGGTTAGTGCTGCTATCCCTGTGCCACCAACTGGCTCCTCCCTGGCACTTCCAGCTGGATTGTTACCTGGTACAGGTCAGTTGGAAAGAGGAGAGCAAGAGTTGCTGGCCACGAGCAGCCAGCAGAGGGTAACCTGCTGCCGGGAGGAAGCCAGCGCACGGAGTCCGAGAGCCACCACACACCATCCCAACTGCAGCCAGTGGTAAAGTATGAGGAAAAGCCTGTGGTGAAACACTCCCCAAATAAAGGATCCCACCAGATCGAGCTGGTAGCAAGTCCAGGCTAGTGGAGAAAAGTCACAAATCGAGTAGGAACATGGCATTTGCAGCACCAATATTTTACAGCTATCAAAAATGACTGTAAAATTACTGTGTCTTAATGCCCTTGCCAATCCCCTTTCTAGTCTAGAAGTTCACAGGGYGATTAGGAATTTGTACACTGAATCCATTAAAGCGAACTCAACTCAATTCTCCTCCTTTTCCTGCTCTTCTGGAGGAAGAGAAGGGACATGCAGGAGGAGAAACTGAGGAAATTTGATRTAAGTGTAGTATTTCCACTGACCGCCACATTTTGCTGGTCACTCCATGGATACGTGCTAGGACAGAAAGGGATCTCAGAGCACAAGGGTCCTGGCACTGACATTGATCAGAGCTGCCAGCCCTGCACGTCCCTGGGGCTGCCTTTCCAGCCCTGCTGCAAGGRCCAGTGCAGCTCGGAGCGCTCCATTTGTCAGCACCAACCTGATGTGGAATCCACACGCTGCTGAAGCCAGCGGGGCTCGTTTCGTGGGATTAGCTCTGGTTTAAAGCACCTGGTGACATCGTGGGYCACTGGGGCTCTGCTCGTGTGATTTGCAGGCCGCAACCAGCAATTCAGCTGATGTATCACCGTGGTGAAGCTCTAAATTCAGCTATTTTTACATTTTGTTAGGACAGGCATGTATAAGGTTCTTAAACAAAGAAAGCAAAAATAATACCTAGCACTCCCTCTTGTGCCCAGCCTTCTTGTCCCCAGACCCGGGAAAACTAACCGAACAAGCTGAAAAGCAAACAGAAAATAAGAGATACTTGGCTAACTCATTCGAAAACACAAGAGCTACATCTATCTACTACACGTTTCTCCTTAACATTTCTTTTGCCTGCTGCCATTTGCAGGCTAATACCCGTTCTTGTGCACCTCTCAAACGGYCACGCTTGAACTGCAACCCACTAAGACAGGCCTCTCTGCATCAACATCTAGTCATCTACGGGATTAGCTCCCTCAGCATGAATTTTTTACAGCAGCTCATTTTGCCTCGTGCTGGAGCGTGCTTGATGCAGCATCAGGAGACCACACACCGCCAGTTACTGTATTCTGACGAGGGGAACTTGATCTGCAGGGGCCCAGAGCACATCTGACACGGCCCTGCAAAGGTACTGTGACCGTCCAGGGCGCTGTGCCCGTCCTGCAGCCCCTGCCCATTCCTGAAGTCCTTGCTCGCACGGGGGACCTGGCCTTGCTACTGCTCACCCTGGCAAGCAGCAAGGCTCGCAGGATGGCGTCGCACTGGGSCGTATAAAAGGACCTGGATCATGAAGCTGCAGTGACTTTTTACCCAGCACTGTGGCAAATGTKAACTGAGGCCCTACAGGAAAATAAAACACTGTTTGTGCCATAATCCACTTTGTTACGATCATCCTGCATGAGCTTTCCTATAGTTCCTAAGCTATCGTTGAAGCTATTAGGAAGCAGCACCCCAGTTTGTTCATGTGCCACATGCTAACCTGCACTGCAACGTATGGAGTAGGTTAAGGCTGTGAATAAACAATTTCAGGTATCAGCTCACAGCAGCTATGGATCCTCAGCTAAGCCCTTCTGCGTGAGCAGCCTCCTGCTTCACCCATGCCTGTTTCAGCTGTAAAATGCCTTAAACCACAAGGAAGGCTTAGCTTACAGGTGGTAATTTGGTCMTGCTGGGGCACCTGGAAGTGCACAGGCAGCACGGGATTAATCTTGGCAGCAAGGCAGAGATGTCCAGGAGAGTCACTGCACACTCTACAGTCGATAGAGAGAACCAGGCAATTCCACAACACAACTCACCTGACCTAATTCAGATGGCTAATTTAGGGTGAGAGGAATCACGTGTAATTACCTATTTCTCTCCACTGACTACTGGGAGATGTTAACACGACCAGCTTCATGGCAGACCTCTCCACTGAGCCACACAGATCCCGCCCGCAGGCTTGGTGGATGGGGATGATCATTAAGCTGGGGCAAATAAACCACACYGGACACCTGGACCGCTCACTCAAATCTGTGGTTTGTTATAAACCTACCCAGTAAAAAAATGTCCCAYTCAACTGAATTGAAACGAATGATTCCTAAAGCAAAATGTGCTTATGTGCATACATAAAATTCATTTCAAATACAATTTTTACTTATATTAATTTGGCCTTGGWTTAAACCAATGCCTACTGGCTACTACCAAAAAAATCTCTGTGTAACACACACCAGGTCCATCAAGAAAATATAGTCTATCAGAAAGACTGGGTTTTTTGCTAGTAAAACTGGGTGAACCTGAGGACCCTTCCCAGAAATATACTGGGCAAGACACAAGCACAGCTGTCATTACGACATCAACAGAGGTTTTTGTGCACCTGCCACAGAAAATCAGCAATGAAGACACAGCTCCCCAGAGAGGCTGAAGAGGAATGAAAGATCTGACAGAAGCCCTCAAATACAACCTTTTTTTCAAGATCCTACACTGAAYTGATTATGGCATAATGCACTATAATCACCTTTTTGGTAATTTAATCTCTCCTGATACACCACATATATATTTGATATGCAATGTATATACATGATACAAACTTGTCCCATTTTATATATCTTAGCCTCTTATATATCCTATTTACTCTGTACCTTTCCAAAGGTGGCTGGATTTACTTGATTCTTGACATTCTGACTGCAGTTTTCTATATACATTTCATACAGCAGGCAGCGGGGGACGCTGCATCCTTCACACACGCAGAAATTATCTGCAATCCTTTAAAACAAAAACATCAGCCGGGTTAGGTAAAGATTAGAGGGCAGGATTGTTAGCCTGTCATTTTAATAGCTCACCAGGCTTACAGGGAACTCTGTGCCGTTTTACAGAAGTRCAAAATCAAAATAAGAGCTACTCCTTTTATATCAAATCTGTATTCTTGAAGGAAAAAAAAATTATTTTCATAGAGAATTTTTTAAGGTTGTTTTTACCTTTGTAACTTCTTTCCTTGTTTCCAAAGTGTAAGAGAGGTCGTGTGATACTCCGCTAAGAAACAGACCGGATCTCACATTTTTTAGCAATACAACTTAATAATATTATATCAGAACCARTATGCAAAGTGTTAGCATCTAACAGTACTTTGATCTTCGAACTATGCAATGTCTATCACCAAAGATAACAACATGAGCATGTTTTGATCCAAAAACATTGCCCAGTAAGGTGATTTGGGATGAAAAGTGCACAAATTATGAAGGATCAAATTCTTTTCTTGTAAAACTCCACCATTTCATCATAAAAAATCATTGTAAAAAATGAACAGAACTTAATTTACAGTTRCTATGTGACACAACTGCCAGCACTGTAACTGCTCTAAGTATGTTCAAATACTCATCCTTTGGGCAAGGCTCTTGCTCTTCCTACTTGACGGAACGGACACAGTGAAGTAAATGCAACTTCATCTTTGAATAAGGTGAGAAAGATGTGACCYGAGTTATTCATTAGCTTAAGCTATCACCTTCACCAGAAAAAAAAAGGATCCTTGCATTACAAGATAATGCCAACAGCTTCAATGTCAGAAGATGGTGGTTTCCTGTGGCACAAATCAGAAGCAATGCTGGTGCAGAGAGGCAGGGGGAGATTAATTTTCCAAGCACAACACACAGATCTCTTGACAGTGTTCTCTTACTGTGACTCTGCTTCTGTTGTCCCGATGGACATATATATATATTTAATTATCAGATGAATGCTAGTGCAACACAGTGCCAGTCGCTCCTTGCCTCTTTACTGGTAATCATGTTGGTTGAGAGAGCCGACTTCCCACAAACACCAGGGAGATAAGCAGCTCAGGCTTTACATCAGCATTCCCCATTTTATTAACACTACCCGGTGTTTACCCTCTTCTATTAGCAGCTGCTAATGGATAAGGCCTTCAGCAAACTGGCTTCCTAGAGCAGAGTCCATCCGAGACCCATGAGCGTTATCACCATTCATGCCCGCCACGTCCCGCTCCAGCGCCGCTCCGCTTTTTCTCCACCCTCTTCCCCTTTCTCCAGGGGAGCAGTCCGACCTCCTTCCCTGGTTTTCACTCTCCCTAGCAAAAGGCCCCGAAAMGCCTCGTATTTGCCTACACGGAGACCACGCTGCAACCACCTACCAGCTGCAAAAAATAATAAACTTAAAATATGGAGCAGAAACCAGCGCCCAGGAGAGGCAGGAGAACGGCAGGGGATGGGGTATTTCCCACCGTGGGACTGAGGGACAAAGAGGTTTCACTCCGGGAAAGGGTCCCGACAGAGCCCTGCCTGCCAGCAGCTGCGGTGCTTGTCCAGCCTGGAGCAGGGGCCTCCAAATCCCTGGGAAGTGCCCAGTCCCGGAGGAGAAGAAGCCCAGGGCCCAAGGCACCTTAGTGTAACACCACCAGAGACCCTGGAAGCAGGGCAGAAATTAATTCACACTTTAGTTGACTCGAGCCATRGCCCATGGTTTTGCCTCAACATTTAACTGTTTAGTGCAAAAATACGGAGGGGCTTTACTTCATGAGTGTACYGCCCATCAACCTGCGAGCATTTTTCAAATGAAAACACGGAACATTCTTAGGGCTGACGGAGAAGTACTGTGTTTCAGGAAACAGAAGCTATGCAGGGCGAAGACAAGACCATAGACCACCTTTCTTCTTGCTCACAAGGTCCTCAAACCCCTTCGAGGCACGCATCCCTTCACAGCACATACCAAAACAGAACTGTTTAAATCACGACAACGAAACTGGAAGGGAATGGCGAGGGGGAAGCCCCATCCGTTAGGGCATCCGGGCCGCATCCTCCCTTCCGTCCCTGCCTGCTCCCACCTCAGGGTGCTCGGGCCCTTGCGGGGGCCGCCACACGTCGTGCCGGGCGCCTCGGCAGCCTGACCCGCGCCCGCCTTTGCCACCCACCATCCAACCGCCCGGTGTTTCTGGCCAGCCCCCCTTGGCCACTGCCAGCGGCGCCCCGCAAAGGGCCACGCGGCGCCGCCAGCCCCGCCGCGCCCGCACGCACCAGCGGGTGATGGACTGGTGCGCGGCGCCGCTCGGGCTGCTGCCGGCCATGCCGCCTGCG